AACTCTTCATCAAATCAAATGATCGACTGACCACTAGTTTTGAAGATATCCTTCACATGTGAAAAATAGTCCTCTCCCTCCCCGAAATATCTGTAAGAAAATTATGAAGGAAAAGAAACTTTATTTGCGAATAACTCAAAAAGTATGCATTACAAAGATTACTAAATTACCTACAAAACAAACAAAAATCGGACAATTAAAATATACAGTCCATTAATTTGGTATACTAAATAATTTATTCCGCTTTTAAGATACTGCATTTACTATTGTACCACAGGCGAATCTACGGGGAGGAGGGTTTCAGACTGAAGTCCCCACTCCCAAAAATGGTAAAATATAACCATGTTTTATGGAAACAAATATTAAAAAATTATCTCTTTAAGTTATTGTTCGTGTAATTACATTTAAGAGGACTTCAAGAATCAATTAAACACCATTTCATATATGTAGGTAGTTAGTTTCTTTCTTTTTTTCCAAAATAATTATCCTTATATATATATACATATATATACGTGTGAAAAAAAAAGCTTTTGAGCTGAAGCCCTCCTCCCTCTCCTCCCCCCCTCCCCCCCGCTCCAAAATTAAATCCTGGATCCGCTGGTGCATTCTACTGCCTTTTTTTCTGGCTGATATGTGCTTCATCATTTCTTAAAGGCATTGTTTTGTTTGTACATTTTATTTTTTTTAATATCTTAGAAAAACCATCATTGAGGCTTTATTTTGAATGTTACCTTTGCAGTCAGCGTTCAGAAATAGGCTCTAGCAAAGTAATTTCTTCAAATATTTTGGTTTATTATGTTAAATGGAATATTATAATTGACTAAGGAAAAAAATGAATTGCTCTCTCAGATAATACAAAGGATCTACTTATTTGCATATTGCTTTGCTATTTCTTCACTAAAGAATATTCTCTGCTAATTATTCGCGCTGGTCAACTATTGATAAACTTATTGATGGGTTCCATTATTCTTTATCTCCGAATTATCAGATGTTCTTCATCAGTTGTTTCCCCAATACTTTACTTCCTTCCTCGAAAATAAACACGATTTTTTTTGTTTTTTTTTTTTACGAATGACTACAATAATTCCCCATTTTCGGATTACTTAGAAAAATAACTACGAATAACAATAATTACGCAGCTAATTAAAGAAATCCAAAAAGCTACAAAAGAACGATGAACAATTTCAAATCCGACAGTATATTCATAAAAATCGCCTCCCCTCCCCCTTACTAGAAAATAGTTGATTCTATGAATTATTAGAAATGCAAAAATTTACATAAACTAGATAGACGATTGCGCAATTCTAAAAAAGGCTTGCTAAAATAAATTATAAATTCAATTATTTCAAGTTCTATTGAAAAACTCGAATAACAAATAGAAAGATAATAGATAACTTCAGATTATTTATTATTCAAATTATAAACATTTTATTTCTAAAAGCATTTTGTCTTTAACAGGCCTTGAAGGACGACTGAAACATTATTTGATATATTTTTTGTTATTTTTCTTTAAGAATAATAACCGTTATAATAAAAATTAATAATTAATAAATACACAATTTGTTAATAAATTGCTAATAACGAAGTTCCATGAAGGGAATACGTTTTTTTTGTTTGTTTTTTTCAAAAATGCATGAAAAGGGGTTGTGTGGTGTGGCCAATAGCTGACGTCATAAAGGACAGCAACATTCGGATGTTTTCGGGATTCCATGAACAAGTGTGATCGAAGTGATTGTGAACCACGCGTAATTCGTGCGGAACTCTTGTAAACTAGTACCGATTTTTGTGACTGTATTCAATATTTCTTAACTACTGCTAGGTGGGTGACTTTTATTATTTTCAAAGGAAGAAATAGAACAAAAGCCATGAAAAGATTTCTGTATCATAATGAAAGACCATATATGTTCCATGATTACTGTGTTACCCATACAGTCCAGTAGAAATAATTTACTTAATTGAAGAACATATTCAAATGGGTGGAGGAGCTCAGTGAGTAAGATACTGTGCTCCTATGCTTCAGGTCTTGGATTTGATTCTGACTATGTAAGATAATTATTTACTCCGTCACATAAGACCTGGATCAGCCCTGGGTTGGAAGACCAACTTAGGGCACACCCGATCGTTCATAAAGTGTGTACTCATAATTAAGGAGGGAACCCTGATGGTTGACCATGATCTTGGTCCAATCTACTCCCTTGCTCGACACTTGGCCATGATCATGGTTTCATTTTCATTACATATGTAATTAAATGAACAGCTGTTTAATCAGTACTAATTATAGGAGGAGAGCTCCTGTAATTTCCTACTTTTCTAATATTATAACAAAATAAAATATGAGATATACTAATGACTTTTTTATATAATAGAGAGATGTTCATATATGTTCGTAAATAAATGAAATATATATATTTTTTTTCTTATTATAAATACATTCTTTCACATTAAAGGGCATTAATATTAAGGCTACATGAATCATTCACACAATATGTAAACAAAAATAATAACTAAGATAGAAATAATAAAGAAAAAGAAATATGATAGGTGATAAATGTTCAGGACGCAGTCTTCTTTTAATTTTTGCCAACGATTGAGTACTTGAACAACCTCAGTGCTCAAACCACGCCCTGAAGATGACCCACATGTTTGGGTTGAAACGTTGGCAAAAATATTAAAAAATTAAAAAAAGACTGCGTCCTGAATATTTATCACCCATGATATGTAGAACAGTCGACTAACTTCCTTTAAAAAGAAATATGGAAAAATAAAATAAGTAAATTAATATGTGTGTGTACAAAAATGAAATAATAGATAAAAGCTAAATAAAATTAAATTAAATAAAACACATCCACATCTATATACAATATTTACATTCACCTTAATCACTACCTTACAAAGTAATTAAGCTGAGGGTCTCAAATGGATGTATATATATATATACATATATATATATATATATATATATATATATATATATATATATATATATAATAAATTATAGAGAATAATGAGGGCCATCAAATCATAACCATTATATTACTGCTAGTTCTATTACTGCAATATATTAACTCTTATGAAATATATTTAACATTTTTTATGTTGTATTTTCGACTCTAGTGATTACATACATTATCTTTAAATTATATAATAATGGACTAGAACTTTTTTTTTTATGGAAAAAGTCTCAATTTTTTGTTTATTTATTTATTATGGTTTTCTGACAATTGCCATTTAAAGTTTTGTCTTGTTGATATTTCTCATTGTCTCAACTAAATCTTAAAACACCACTTTAAAACCATAAAGAGATATTTAAAAGGATAAAACAATTAAATGTTATATTTAAAAGACGAATGAACTGATCCAATAGTTCAAGGAGAACTCGGCCCTGCCACCTTGTGAGGCCACCTTGACCGTTGATCATGGAGTGAGGTCATTTGCATTTCTCATTCAGTGAAATCTTCGTCATGAGGAAATGTTTGTTATTATTGCAGTTATATTTTCCAATTCAATAATATATCTGTTTTTATTTTTTAAGTAAATTTCTTAAGATTAAAATTTAAAATAGCAATAAAGAAAGATACTCTCAAATCTGAAAGTATTTGAAGTAGGGAAATATCAGGAGCCTAAACTTCAGGGGATATCACGCGACGACAGCCGATTGGTAATTGACTTTTTAATGAAGCAAGGCTAGGTGTTTGTTTCAGAGATGTTTCTTTAGGAGATAAGTTTGACGTTTTGATTCATTCATCTGTAGTTTGCCATTTCTTAGTTTAAAATAGTTCAGGATTTATTTTGGATTTTTTTAATTATATAAAATCCTTTTGACCCCAAAACCTGGGTGACTATTACTGGTGCAATTATATAAGCTTTCGGAAATTTTTTTTTAATAATATGGCAGTTGACTGTACCGAAAAAACAAAATCAATAAAACATTAAATTTGCTGTCAATTAAATAAACCTATTAGCAAAGATCCACCGTCAGAACTAAGGCTCCTCTGGTTCACAATATTGTTGAAAATGTCTCTTAATGTCCCCATTACCTTAATTATTACCTTAATGAATTTTTTTTTTGTTTTTCCTAGTACTCCGTTCCCTTAATACTTTTTCAAAACAAATGATTAAGAGATCATTTTGAGGATTATCTTCTCCATGCAGAAAAAATAGAAAAAAAAAGTATAAAATTTATTTTTTAATAATTTTAAAAGTAATTAAATTTTAGATGCAACAAAAACAAAGATCTATCCTATTCGATTAATTACACATGTTTTTATTTTTAGTAATAATTTTTGTTTTTAATTGACTAAAAAAATGAATCCATCCCCTAAATTAAATTAAGATAAAATTTATGTTTATTATTATTAATATAAATAGAATCAAGTCCTTAAGAGTCGCTTATTTTTTTCTAAATAATAAAGCTATTAGTATTTAAACATTCGAATTTTTATAAACTTTATTTTAATATTTGAAAATAATAAAAAGAAATGTTTTAATTGTTTATTTCTTCTCTCATTTTTTTTCTTAAATAAGTTAACCTTGTTGAATGAATTTCTTTTAAGGATAACAAGAAAAAAATATTTTTTGTTTAGTAAAACGGTAAGTTTACTCTCCTGTATCCGAACAACGATATCATTTTGATAGTTAAGGTTGGCCCTCCCTACTCGATTCCTCGAATTATGTTAGATAAACATAAGGGGGAAGGCGCGACAGTATCCCTAACGTACACCAATTTCTAAATAGGGAAATGACATTGCTTGTAGGTTTGATTTACCCTTGTGGAGCCCCCTCTCCTCGACCTCCCCCCCCTTCATCCATGTTTGACTGCCTCCTGCCCCACACTCTGTCAGGGACTTGCTCCACTGCACTCCCTTTCTCTCATCAGATGCTTTCTGTCGCTTGATCTTATTTCATTTTAATATATCTATTTGTAATAAATTTATTTTATTTTATTGTGTGTTCAATATTAATACTCGAAGGCGTATTTTTTAAATTATTTATGAAGAAATATGGCTGTTATGAGCCCGCCATCTCCTCCTTTAGCAATAATTACGGAAACTCCTGCGTTTACGTTGGAAACAAAGTAAGTCAATTTTTTTTTAATTACTTAATTTATGAAGATGTTATCATAATTATCAAAACCAATATTTTTTGTCGAATCATAGTTTGAACGCTTCAACGCTTGAATTGAATAATCTTTATATTTAAAGTAAAATATTATACCCAATTTACTTTTTTTATAATAAAACTCAAGGAAATATCAAGTGTTTAATATTTTCCCTCCTTTTTTTTTTTTATTTAATGTAAGACAACGACCCCTTTTTTTGCTTGTAAATAAATAATAAAGTTTGATTTATTAATCAATGGAGCGAGGTAGTAAATATTCTGATCGTATAAATTAAAGTTGATTCTAGCTCAAGGTAAACATGCCTCCATCGTTTCCTCTTGTTTAGTTTTTAAGGAAACCAGATTATCAGAATTAATAATAAAATTTTATGGTGTTTTCGAGTAGTACATTATCTCTTGTTTACCTAAATCTGTTTTGCACAAATTATATTCTTTTTAAAAAATTAACGTTTCATGTATAATTATGAATTAAACATGTATATTTTTATTTAATAAATGATACAATCATATTTTCATAGCTGTATGAAGCCTGTTTGAGTTAGTTATAGTGCGGACAACATTGTTAGAAATAATAATATATTAATTTTAAATGTTATTTACTTAATAAAATCAGTTAATTACTTTTTCATTCATAAAAACATATGGCGATGTTTCACTCTGATTTGCCTATTTTAAAATCCAAAAAGTAAAAATCTGTAGCTTATGGTCATCCATAAATTTAAATTTGATACAATTATCGATCTATTTATTATTGTTCCTAAACTATTCTATAAGCTTATTCTTTTAATTATATTTATTTTCTTATATAATTGGTCCTTTATCATCTAACATAACAAATCAATAAACATTAAAAAGGTTTAAAATTAATATGTTCCAAAATTCACAATTATATGAAAATAAAATTATCAAATAATATGAAGACTGTATTAATCCTTCCTACGATATTTTGCAATAATAAATTTGTAAAGTTACATTGTCATCAATGGTTTTATATATATTAAATTTTATTTTTGAATTGCCTTTTTTGTACCGAAATATTAATATATTAATAAATGTTAATAGAATTCAAAATTTTTTTTTTAATTCTTCAGAAATGTTTTTATTTCTAAAATTGTGTGTTTGGTTTAATTATTTCCTTAACCTCATGCCATAAAAAAAAAAAAAAAAAATACGAATTAGTTACCTTAGTCAGTAAATGTGCGGTTAAAAAGATAAAGAAGAAAAAACTACATTAATTTTCTGTTTTGTTTTTTTAATTTATTTATTAGTATTATTTAAAAAATTACAATAATGTCTACTAGAGATAATATTGTTAATTCTATTATAAAGTTATAGTTAAATTATTTTTTTAAAAAGTTCATCATATTTTTCTTATTTTTATTTTAACACGGCAGCATAATATTATCTATTGTTTACGTTGATCTGTTGCAAGAAAACATCTCTGAAATTATCAGCTTCTCATGTAATAGTTGTTAATTTAATTTATATCCTTTCTTATGCAAATTTGTTTTTGTTTACAATGTAAAAAGTGTTAACAATTGTTATAAATATCTAGAATTATTTCATTTGTCTTTTTTTTTAATTAGGCCATATTACAAAAAACAAATTAATCCTCTAACAATTAAATCTTTATACTGACAATATGGGAACAGAGTAGAGATTATATAGGCACATATATGTACAACTTACAACTATATGTAAACACTCTATGTATGTATATTTATTGATCATGATAAGTGATAGGTGTTTACATACATCAGTTGCACAAGAAGAGCTAATCTGCGTTTCTAACATGCGCTTGTAATATTCTTGTCGTTATTACATTTTTGGTTTCCATTCAATTTGATGTTCTTGAATTTATTTTTATTTAATCTAGATCATTAAAAATTATTATTTTTTTTAAATAAACATCCACTCACACAAAGGGAAATATTGTTCTTAATAATTGTATTTGTCTACTTGTTGTAAATGTTCTAGCAAATTTCAAGACCTTCAACTCATCCTTCCTGTTTTTTAATCATTAAGTGTTACATCAATCGGAAAACAAATGAAAAAATGTAATAATGTCATTCAGGTGCATTGCATCACATAATGTTGTAATATTGTCACGAAACGTAATATATTTAATAGATTTTGTATTTTATTATTATAATAAAATTTTATTCTCTTATGGTGATAATAGTTTAGTATTATTTAAACTAGAAGTAATTTGGTTTTTTATTTTTAAATGATCCTGACCTACCCTAATGTTGAATAAAGTGATACTTATTTAACACAAAATTGTTTGTCATCTTAAATAAGAATAAATTCATATCTATAATAAATTCATACCTAAGAATAAATTCATCAAGAATTAGTTGATAATTCTCACATAAGTAATAATACATTTTAAACATAAAGGTATGCGAACTTTTGTACTTTAAAAATTACAATATTTTAATTTTTCAGGAGATAAATAATCAGGAAGCAGTCATTTTGATATTATTGTTGCTGATGTTTCAATCCAAACATATGGGCCATTATCAGAGTATATATGCATTACTAAAGGGTTCACGAACACCTTCAGTACTACAACATGCCATGATGATGGCCCACATGATTGGGTTGAAACGTCGCCAAGAATAAAAAAATATCAAAATATACTTCCTAATTAATTATTCCCTGTGGTGTGTAGAACAATCGACTAACTTCCTTCAATATTTTAGTTTTTATATACCATAACTATTTATTCATTAACTTTTTTTTAAGAAATTTTCTTTTCCTTAAAAAATTATATAAATAATTAATGGTTCACAGGGGTCAAAAAAATCAATAGGTTATAAGCTATTTTTTTTTAATTGATTAAAATATCAATACACTTATAAATTAGTGGACTTGATTCAAATAATTTAAAATTTTTTTTTAAAAATCAAGTTGGCTGTTTGACTTCTTTTTTTTTCGAATACCCCTACTCACTCAGACCTCACCATTTCTTCTAATCATCTTCTAACCCGAGTGGGAAGGTCATTCTGTGGATCAGCCACGAAATAAATTGCCACCAGCCCTTATATCTTATATTATCTTTCAGATTATATTTTCAGATTATATCAGATTATATGTTTCAATTTCAGATACGACAGGCTGTTGAGAAGAGCTAAGACAGAAGATCTATCAGAAGTGTCAGGAATAGGCTGTCTCTACCAGTGCGGTTATGACCGATTCGGACGACCTGTCATCGTCTTTGTCGGAAAGTGGTTCAAATTCAAGGATATCAACTTAGATAAAGTAAATATTGCCATTTGATTTAAATAATTTTTAAAAATTAAAATATTTGTATTTATTATTTTACTCATTTGATTATTTATTTTTTTTAGGCACTGTTATATCTGATATACCTTTTGGATCCTTTGGTCAAAGGGGATTACGTTATCGCTTACTTTCACACTAACACTTCTAACGCCAATTACCCTTCATTCACTTGGCTCAGAGAAGTTTATAACATACTGCCTTACAAGTAAGTATAATGTGTTATATTTTATGTATTATAAGTCACTTAAAAATATTTCATAAAACTGATATTATCGATGTTGTTGACACTGATAGGTTGTTATTGGTGCATCTTAGCTATATCAGTGTAGAAAATCAGTTAACCGTCATTACAATTTTTGTTTCTTGTTTTTTTTTTACTATATAATAAAAATACATTGAATTTTTTGCGTCCCATGTAATATACTGCAAAATAAAATACATGAAATGCAAAAATAAAGTTCCAATAAATGAATGATTTTTTAGTAGATAAAAACACATTCTGAAAAGTAAGAATAAATTCTAGTTTTTTTTAATATATATTAGGCCAAAAGTCACCAAATGTACACAGTTTTCACATCATGTACTATTTATTCGACGTTTCGGCTTCAAGAACCATTTTCAAGATCCTGCAAACATACACCGCTTCATAAAATTTCCTAAAATGTATCATTATAATATAATTCGTCGATTTGTCATTCTTTTATTTCATCGAATGTCGTTTTTTCACTTCTTTCGTAGACGATATTAAAAGTGTTCCTCCTCACTAACGCATTCATACATTCATTCTTGAAAATGGCTCCTGAAGCTGAAAGGTAGAATAAATAATACATGATGTGAAAACTATGTACATTTGGTGACCTTTGGCCTAATATTAAAAAAAAAAAACTTTTTAAAAAATGACACCAAACCTAAAAGATATCAATAGAAAAATAAATTCTAGGTTTATGCAAGAAGAAGCTACACTGATAAAATTTTTAAAAAAATGTGTAAAGAAATTACAATACAGTGGATGAACTTAATTCTAATTTTGAGGAGGGTTTAATTTTTTTTTTATGTTAGATTACAAATGTTCATTATTAAGAACCTGAAATATTTTGCTTAATTAAATTACTAGTTCTGAAAATAATTTAAAACCAATTATAAATTATATGAATAGTCCAACAGATAAATTATCTTGAATTGTACTTGAAAAAACTTACATCTTTGAAGAAAAAAAAAGAAAATCGTAAATTTCTTTGGAATAGTTTGCAGTGTTCAGTGCTTGAAATAGTGGAACAGCCTTGCTTGAATTAGTGTAAAAAATTAACACCAAAAACATGATTTACATGTCAGCTACGGCTTATAAAAAAATTCTAGTTTCTATATTCAGGTCAGGAGTTTCATAAATTTCAAGAATACGTTGTCGATTTTGTATAAAAAACACATCATGAGTGTCCAATTTTTATATATTCGTTCAATTTCAACTGTGGAATGGTTGATTTCTGCTATTAAAAGAATAAAAAATAATTCTTGTTTTAGCTGTTTCAATTCAAGTTTTAGCTGAAAATATGAAGCAATGAAAGGATTTATCTTAATTCCAGTCAGCATTTTTTTTCTAATTTCAGTTTTATTTGTCATAACTTGTATTACTAATGCATTTATTTTAGTTTATTATTTTCAATAATCAACCTTTGTAATCAGGGTTATTAAAAAAAGTTAATTCTTCTAAAAAGTTTCAAGATATATAGCATATTTCTTATAAATTACATGGGATTTGGTGGTCCCCCATGGTTACTGGAGGCATCTCTCTTGTTCATGGACACTCGTTGCTATTGGAAAATAAAATAAATCCAATCATCTTTTTTATTAAACATTTTAAATTTCGCCGTCACTTCTGAAACGATTATAATATTAATATCTTATCTACTAATGAAGCTATTCTTATGCGTTCTAATGGATATAAATATTAATGTAAAAAGAAAATACTGTATTCAAAACTATTATCTTTGTTTATTTCTTTAAATTTTAAATAATATTACTATCGAGATAAATTAAAATTATTAATACATTAATAAAGAAACAAATTTGGGTCTTAACAAACTTTAAATATATATAAATAGATAAATGAAAATAATCCTAAAACCCTGTAAATTATTATATAACAGTTTATTAATTCCAAATAGTTCCATATTGCAATTGTCTGGTATGTCTGATCAACACACCAGAGGAACTAGACGGAGGATCAAAGGAATATACATTTTTAGGTCAAGTAAAAAAATATTTGCTTCTTATTTTGAACTTGATTAGTTCAAAATATTTATAAAATAAATTCAAAAATACTTGTTGATAAAGCAATGTAACCTTAACACTGCTAATTGCCCACTATTGACTTTCTTCACAATCACAAAGAACATTTCTCCATTTATTGTCCCACCTTCCGCAATCAAAAATCATTTTATTATTAAATTTAATGTTATAAAAATTATGATTCTCAATTATTATTAGTTAAAAATAAATGTTACAAATAATTAGATTTCAGTGAACATAGAATAAAATTGAATTTTTTTCCTTTTTTATCTGTGTCCTAAAGATTGAGGACACCATGTCCATTTTTTTTTATTAAATAATCCAGTAACTAAGAAACAAATTTCAATAACTCAACAAAGTTATGAGAAATTGGCTCCTGAACAAATACAAAAATGTGACATGCTTTCCTTTACCTCCGCGCTTCACATTTAATGATTTAGAGACAAATTTTAATAGCTCAAAACTATGCATATCTGCTATCAGGCACGGATATAAAGAATAATATTTTATTCTTTTCCTCTCAAACTCTTCTACTCTAATTATAAAATTATTGGATTAATGAAGATTTTTAATGCTCTATTTTTATTTTATTTTTTTTTTAGGTATAAGAAAAATTTAAAAGCCTTTTATATTGTTCACCCCACTCTCTGGACCAAGGTAAGGTCATTATATCTTTTGTGAATTAATATCTTAAGTAAATTAATTGTATTTTAAAATTTATTCTTTAAATTTATTCTCAGACAGTGGCTTAATATCATCATGACACACTGCTTTTGTTAAACACAACTTAACGAATAATTTTATTGCTGATGAAAAAGTATACATGTTATATTATATCTAATGTCTAATGTAGGAAATATGCTGTATGAATTCTCAAAGTCCTTAGTATCACTTTTGCTTTCAATCTTTGGAAGGAATCTTGTGCCCGATGTTTGGATTCTTTATTGATTTCTCTTTGAGAAAGTCCATGAAGATGAGAAGATAAATAGTTTTTTTTACTGCCACTTCTATCCTCCTTTCTACCTCTCTCTGCTTGAGGATGTACCTCATGAGCTCAAATCTCAATTTTTGTTTTTAATTGGATATTTGCATCAATTTTCAAATTTTATTCTTCGTTAATGATCATATCATTACAACAAAATTAGGGAGAGATTTTTTGGTTTTTAAAGAACAGTTTGATCATTTGGATATTGTAATGTGATTAAGAAAATTGGTGATTGATTTAGGGAAAAGGGAGTTGGAGCGGCATTTCAGTAGAAAAATATGTTGATCTAAAGTGTTGGCAAGGCATTTGTGGAGCGAGCAAAGGTTGTTAATGTGGTATCTGCGACTAAAATAAATGCTTTTGAAAAATGAGAAGGATAAATTAGCTTGACTGGAAGCGCGGAACTTACTAGAGAAGAGGAGTTTAAAACTGAAGAGGTCAATGTGTCATCATGTGAAGAATTGTTGAACGAAGGAGAAGAGAAGTGACTAGATACCGGTGCTGAATGATGAAGAGTTCCGGATAGTTTTTGAAATCTGGTACTGCGACGAGCGGGAAGAGCAGAGAGATTCTGATGCGAGGAAAACTGTTGCAGATTTTTTTATCTAACATTGAATCTGGAGCTGCAGACCCTCTCATTTTTCAAAACTATTTATTCTAGTCGCAGATACCACATTAACAACCTTTGCTCGCTCCACAAACGCCTTGCCGACACTTTAGAACAACATATTTTTCTACTGAAATGCCGCTCCAACTCCCTTTTCCCTAAATCAATCACCAATTTCCTTAATCACGTTACTATATCCAAATCACTCAATTTCAAATTATCAAACTGATCTTTAAAATTCAAAAAATCCCTCCTTAATTTGAAAATCCGTGAAATCATACAGCATATAACAATAAAAACTAAAAGTTTGTGAATTTTTTCCGATTATATATTTGTTAAGATAATTATCGCTAAAGAAAAGTGGTGTAAATAATGGAGACCTGGCTATGTCTAGCTCATATCATTTCGCTTAGAATAGTGTTTCCAGCTTCAGAACTTCCATCCAAGAAATACCTTTCTGTTTTTCTCTCACCCTTCACTATAAGTGAATTTTATTTATTTATTTTTTACTTTTATAAGATAACAGGGGTAAGAGATGTTTGATAGGATGACATGACATGTTTGACAGCTGCAGCCGTATATGTCAAGCTACAACAGACTCAGCCTCCATTATACCTCCCAGGGGCTGTCTGTTTTTCAAGTTTTTTTTACTAAATATGAATCTTTTATTATCAGTTCAAAAACTGCTATCTCAATGATATTTGGAGCGGGCGGGATAGCTCAGTGGGTAAGCACTGACTTGCAGAGCTCAAGGTCCCGGGTTTGATGACTAGTAATTGTTCATCGGCCGTGGATCAAGCCTGGGGCCAGGAGACCCTTTTGGGGCGCTCCCAGCTTCTGTGAAGTAGCTACTCTTAATTTAATAATTAAATAGGAAAAAAACCTGATAGTTGAGCATGATATCGGACAATCACCTGCCTGCACAACCGTTGGTCTTGTAGCAGCACTTCCTCACATTGCACTGAACCCAAGAAGACCCTCGTTCGAGAGGGAAAAATATAATCCCAATCTTATAAATGTTCTTAATTAATTGAATTCTGTTGCAGCTCAAATTTATATAATTTCTTTTTCTATGCGAGTTTCCATTTTTTCTTTCAATGCAGAATTCATATGCTTGATGATGTTCAATAATTTTTACACGATAAAATTCCAATTTTTACATAAAAATTCCTAAAAAATTAGTTCTAGCACCAAAATTAATTGTTATAATTTTTATAATGATGTAGAGTTGGTTGACCGTTGATATGATATGAGAAGGAATTAGTCGAGGGTGCGGTCAAAAAAATAAAAAAATTAAAATATATAAATAATTTTAATTAAAAATTAAAAATTAAAATTATTTATATTTTTTTATTTTTTTGACCGCACCCTCGACTAATTCCTTCTCATGTTATAATTTTTATTTTTTAAACTAATTCAGTTATGGCCACGCCTCCCAATCTTCACTTCCCAGGGCTACTGTAATTTCCAGTTTTTTTTAAAAATGTGAACCTTTTTTTATTATAATATAAAAAATGCAATCTCAATATTATGTAGATTTTTTTATCACTTCAATTCTATTGCAGCTCTGATTTACTGTGTGCAAGTATCTAATTCAATATTTTTTTTATAATTATAATTTGATGGTAATTATTTATTAAATAATAATTTCAGATGATGACTTGGTGGTTCACTACCTTCATGGCACCAGCCATAAAGCAGAAGGTGCACAGTTTGCCGGGAGTAGAATATTTGTACAGCATTATGCCGAGAAATCAACTTGAAATCCCCGCCTTCATCACTGAATACGACATGACTGTAAGCAAAAACATTATTTTTTGTTTTTTCCTAATTATCATTTATACATATTATTATAAGTATGAAATATTTTTGATAAGTTATTTCATTAATTTAAGTTGAGCTAATGATTAATACTTTAGGACCATCATTATGATAAGTAACGTTTGAATGTCGATGACTAATATTGGTAAGAGAACAATGATTTCTCTAAAAATTAAAAATAAAAACCAGTGAATTTTACAAGTAAGTAATGTAATTCTAATGAATGTTTTACTGGTTATTTTTCAGCTGTTGTATTGTTGTATAAATTCATTGCATTTATTTTATTTTTATAATTATCTTTTTATTTTATTTTTTCTGTTAAAGTTATTATAACAGATTTATAAATGCTGGTATGTTATTATTAGCGAAACCTGTTGCTTGATGTAATTTTAATTTTTATACGGCTGCGAGCATCATGATCTACTACAAATGTTTCAAAATTGGGTTATAACACATTCTTAAATACGTTGTGTTTCCCAGTGAATAAATTAAACATGTTTTGTCCCTTTAAATTACCATTCTTCAAATGTAATGTTATGATCTTTGGATATATATATATGCTAGAACAGCAGCTAACCTTAGAATAATTGTAAATTTATGAAATCTAGACACAAAGTCTAATCATTAATAATCAACTTAGTAATTGAAATCAATAGATTTACTCCATTTTATCTTCTGCAAGAACTTGCATAATTTGAACTTTAAATGCAGCTTTACGGGTTTGCCAGCCCAAGCTTGTGGTGTAAGCTTGAATGGCTTTGCTTACACATGCTTGCTTGTGTTTGTACTTACACATGCGTGCTTGTGTTGCTTACACATGCTTGCTCATGTTACACATGTTTCCTTGTATTTGTAGTAGATCCAGTCATGTATCGATGTTTGGTCACAAATCAAAGGAAGTTTGTGGGAAGCACCCATTTGAGAGCTATCGTTGCCTGTTTTTTTTATTTTTTATTGTAGTGAAAATCTCTAGGCGCATTTAGCAATTATTTGTGGGTAATGAATCAAACAGTCCTCGCACTCAGCTATTTAATGCTTATTCAGATAAAGTCGGCTCGAGTCGACTAAGTTTTGCATTTGAATTAAAATAGCTCCCACGGGTGGAACCCACGCCCTAATGTGCTCAGCCATCCCGTCCTCTACGTACTGTAACTAAGGGAAATTTTTAGTATTTGATCCTCTTTGTAATGAACCATTATTCAAAATTGTATATTGACATAATGCCGTATTAGAGAGGAAAATATAGTGTTGAAAAAAATTTTTTTTTGTAACCCGCCAGAAAGTTTATTTAATTACAATTACGTATATAACTATAACGAATACAAATATACAAGGTCCTTCCACTGCACGAGGTCATTTTAAGGATTGGGGGAAGGGGGAGGGAGAATAGCTCTCACAGCAAGTTCGACCATTTCAACCATTTATCTTATAAGTCTATTCTTTAACTATTTTCTGAATTTGTTCCCATTGGTTTTGATTTTGTCGGTAAAAACGAACCATAATTTTTCAAAATTTGATTATCTCTTCAAACCAACTAATTTTTACCACGAGATTAGATAAGATGTAGTAGATTGTGGTGTCTCGCAAAAAATGCTTGCATGGAAGTGAATTAGAATTAATTATTCGCTCTATGTTTTTAAAGCAATATTTATTGATATGGATTTCAAAATTTTAATATGTTCAAGTTAAAAATTGAGATTATTATAAGCTTGATTCAGCATTTATTGTTCTCGATAAATGGCTTTAGCAGGGCAGCTATCTATAGTAGTTATCTTAGATTAATTTTTATTGTGACAAAATTAAAAAAAAAAAAAATGTGTGAAGCGTCAGACCAAGGGGAAATGAAAGTAAAAATTATAGACACTATATTTATTTACATTTCCTTGTGGATATTTTTATTTGTTCAAATTTCCTTATATAGACACATTTTAATTTTTATATCACTGCATTCTATACAATTAAACATTAAATAATACCAACGATAGCATTTATGAAAATCGCTTATGTATATGTCCATAATATTTTCGGAGTCCGTAATATATTAAGCTCATGTTACGTATGTACTCTTTTGGGCGAGCTCGTATTCCTTTGGTTCTTCCATTATAATTATTATCTGTTATGATCTCTTATATATCCTTTAGTTAATTATCAAATTCTTTCATATTTTATATTAAACTAATTTTTGTATCAAAGATTAATGTGAAATGGTTAATTATTTCAAATAAAAAAAATTAAAGGTACTTTAAAAAAAGCTAACATTGAAAATTAGACGTTTAAGCCCTGTTAGAGAACATCAATGAGCACAAAACCTACATTATATTAAAAACTGTTTAGTAATACACTGATATACTGAGTTTAATCAAAATCGTTCGTGCCGTTTTTGAGAAAATCGTAGAAATGTTTTAAATCGATTATATAAAGTACCACTTCCGGTTTCTCGATTTTGACAAAAATGTTGAAATATCCAAGGATTATAAAAACCTCAAATACACAATTTCAGTTTTGTACGGCTTTTCGTTTTAATCTTTTGTGGGACTTGGTTATTTGGATTTAGGGGACCTCAAAATGTGTATTTCCGTTGAAAACTCAGATTAAAAAATTTCCACGATCGCAATACTTACTCTTACTATATATTTCACATATAGGTAAGTGAAAGTCAAAATTAATGGTCCGAATCCATACGAATTTTTTTTGTTAATTTACCTTTACCACAAAAAAAACTATAGGTTATCTTATTTCGAGGGTATACACTGTATACTTTGTTATCCGCTTATCAATCAATTTTATATTATTTTTTTAATAAAAGAAAAATATTAGACTATGTTTTATTAATAGTAGAATATTTAAGTTTTATTAATAGCACTGATTAATGGCAGTTATGTCAAAATGACTTATATATGCTATTAATACACATCTTAATTGTGGGATAATATGAAATTTCATTATCTGTTTCTAATTTGCTATTAAAGCAGAATTCTGACTTTAATATCTATATAAATCTCAAGTTATGGATGTACAATGCTATGATAAAGCCAGTGTTAAAATACAGCTGTATGACCTAGAAGAAATATTGAAAGATTTTAGAGAAAAATCCTCCGCACAATAACCGAAGCAATCTTGAATCTTAGTACTAACACATGGAAAAGAAAGACCAATAAACAGCAGGTTACAGAAACTGGTCAATCAATATTTGATGCTTTAAGATGAGCGGGGCTTGTTACTCGGAGCAATCCATCTAGGAAGTCGCTGCATAACGATGAATGCCTCAATAGTAAGTGAGCAAGAGACCACGTGGGAGGCCAAAAACAAGATGGATAGATAGAATCAACAAAGACGCAACAGAGCTGCGTGCAGGTTAATGGAAAGAAATAGCTCAAGACAGGCAGAGGTGGAGCAGGCTTGTTAAGGTGAAGAAAGATCTGCGTGGTCTGTAATGCCAACGGAAGAAGAATAAATAAAATTAAAAAACACAGAACTATAACAATTTTATTGAACGATGTTTAGCAACTGAATTAATTGATGATTTTTATTTTTACAAGTGAGTATACATGTATGTATCCAGTTAGAGTTGTGTTTAGTATAAAGTATAAAGTTGCATGTATTTGCCAGGTTTTACTACTTTCTATTTTCTTTTTAATTATCTGTTATGTGATTACTCCCTCTGCAGAAATGAGTTTAGTGTACTGAAATCGTGCTGTACTTCGTTCAAAGGAAGATAATACATTTAAAAAAATAATGAATTAAATAAATAATTCTAGTCGACAGGTAAATAGGTTGATAAAGAAATGTATTAATTCTTTTAATTAAGTTCTTGCATGAATTTGCAAGTTTTATACATTGATGATGATTACATTATTACAAAAATGCAAAAAGTACCAAATTTTTCTGATACATTTTTGCAAAAATAATTATCGTTAAAGAAATGGTGGTGAGGCAGAGCTATGTCATAAGAGTGAAAACACAGTTATGGGCTGTCGATCCCTAGCATGCTCGTATTGATTGATTTTCTATTTCTTATTTACTTATCTTAGAATGGTGTTTACAGCTTCAAAACTTCCAATCAAGAAATATTTTTCTATTTTTCCTCTCATAATGTTGTTTCTGAATAAAAGTAATTAGTTTAAAATGTATCTTATTAGCTTTTATAAATGGATGTAAACGTAGTAGAGCTGTGAGACACTTTGACAGCATCGTGTTTTGCAGCCGTATACATGATGACACCTTGGCCCCAGATCACTTCCCCCAGCCCTCGACGCACTAATAAATATGAAACCCTTTTTTTTATTATATAAAAATTGCAATCTCACTCTATATACCTTCTTTATCTGTTGAATTCTATTTCAACTCAAATTTATGCAATTTGTTGTCCCATGCAAGTACGTACCCTTAAGATTTCTTTGCTTTCTTAATCTTAAGATTTTCAAAAATTATTTTAAGACTATGTATTCAGAGTTTATGCATCAATTATTGCTTCTTTGTTTCTTTTTAACAATTCATTTTTCTTATTTAAAAGTAACCTTTTTATTGTTGTTTTTTGTATCAGTAATATTGTTTTTATTTTTCAGATAAACGGTTTGAGGTATTTTAATCCTAGTTCAACAACTTAATCAACAACAACAGCCTGAAGCGTGTGATTAATAATGGAATAACGATCAGTATTCGCTTTGTGTCAACGATTTTAATATTCCTTAGCAATCTATGTAAATTCTTCAACAAATAACTGCTACACCAATTTAAAAAATAAAAAAAAAAAGGGAAAAAAATTAGGTATGGTTTACAATTTTGTAAAATCCTGCTGGATTTAACGTGCTATATGAAATGATGGCTGTCAAATATTGAAATGGTTAAAGAATTAAAAAAACTAAAAAAAAAATTATGCATTCGCTGAATAGTTTAAATGTTTTTATTTTATTTTTTAATTTGAATTCAGATTTGATTCAAACTATGGAGCTGTGTTATGAATGAAGTAATTTTGCAAATGTTGAAAGATGAATTTTATTAGAGCGTAAATGTGAACACTGCTCCTAGCGATGTTTGTGCATTACTATCTCCTGTTTGAGCTCGCAATCTTAATGTGGTCGCTGCGCAAATTTTGCTTTCCGCCATCTGTTCTATAAGT